GGAAGTAGATATGTATGATCTAAGAGAGTATAATCACGAAGGGCAGAATTTCATAAGAAATGTGAAAAAGAAAACGCACCAAAAACGTGGTGCCCCGCCGGGAGCGGTAGTCATGGATGACATGCATGGTTACGGTGATATGAAGATTTACCTCGCATGAATTTCTAATCTGTATGTAACGACTATATGAATGGAAATAAACACTTGAGCACAGATGCAAAACAGTGAGAACATGGGGTGCAGTAAGTGGAGCATTCAGTTTATAAGTAATCTCAGGATGGTGACAAATTGTATTTATTTGTCATCTTTCCTCATGAATGTTTACACGTTCATGGGTAATCAGTGATCTGAGAGACAGTGATCTCAGTTTTCAAATGTGGAGTCATCCTAAGAGCAGAATAAAATCGAAATGGTATCCACACCGTCAGAGTATCTATCATTTCTTCTTGTGGATATACTATTGTATATAAAAAAGCGTAACACAGGTGGACATACCTGTGAATACAGATTTCTTTTTTTTTTGGCCTTTTCCACCTTTATTTGATAGACACAGTGAAAGCAGGGGCAGAAAGAGAAGGGGAAGACATGCGACAAAGGGCCACGGGTCAGACTCAAGCCCGGGCTGGCCGCTCTCAGCCATATGGCATGTGGTCGACTGCTCAACGCACCCCAGTGAATACAGATTTCTAATAATGTTGCTGCACTGACTATTATTTATCTAACTAAAATAAGCTAAAATAAAGCATTGCTATTAGAAAAACAAGGTATAATCTCACTATTTCCACAGTGATTAAGAGGGTGAGTAGCTGCCATGTGCTGCTAATTAAAAGCCCTTGATTAACTGATCAAGTGTGGCCATCCTTATAAAAGCAGAAGTTTTGGTTTGGTGTCTTTTTGTGTGTGTTTTTCTGGTCTGGAGCGCTATTGTGTGTGTTAACACACTCCAAAGACTCAATGCCACTCCGGCAATGATTTTAGAGAAGCAATTGTTAGTACCCATCAATCTGGGAAGGGTTATAAGGCCATTTCCAAACAATTTAAAGTCCATCATTCTGAAGTGAAAAACATTATTCACATGTGGACAGCGTTCAAGCCAGCTGCCAATCTTCCCAAGAGTGGACGCCTCAGAAAATTCACCCCAAGGTCAAATCATATAATGGTTATAGAAATTGCAAAATTGCACCTGAACAAACCACAAGGCTTCTGAAGCCCTTGGACAGACAAGACCAGAGTGAAATTGTTTGGCCATAATGCGCAGCACTACATTTGGTGACAACCAAAGCGTACAGCAAATCAGCATGAACATAGCATACTAAGTGGGGAGCAGAGGAATGGAGAGGGTACAGCTAAAGGTTGGCTGACATTGGGACATTGGCACAGCGGCAAATCTAAAACTGAATGGCAGAAAAAAAAGGATCAAGGTGTTGCACTGACTCAGTCAAAGTTCAGACCTCAACCTGACTCAAATGCTGTGGCAGGATCTTAAGAGAGCTGT